GAAGTCGGCAGAAATTCTGAATTGATTTTTAACATAGTAAATAGCAAGCCTGAACTATGTCACAAGACCAAAAACTAAGTTAAAAATAAATAAATGATTCCTACCAGACTTAAACACCATTTACATCATCTGTGCCTCCCCCCCAGTTCTCCTGTACACCCTGATTGAGCTGAAGCCCTCTCTACGGCTCCTGCTAACTTCTCAGCCAGGGAGGCTGTTTCTGTAAACAGCAAATAACCCAAGCCCATGAGGGGCAGGGACCCCAGGCTGGTGGCAGCACTGCCTGCAGTCGCGAGCTCTGTCCCAAGCGCTGCCGTGGGTTCCGTGGGCCCAGGCTCTGTTTGTTGGTGCTGTCTGTGCTCCCAGCACCTCTGACAGGGGCCACATGTGTGTTGAGCCGCCTCCTCTGAATTTCTGACAGAGGAGACTTCCTGGCCTTGGTGCGTTCATCGGCGTGGACAGAATAGGATGGACTTGAAACCCTCACTGTTCAGAGCCAGGCCGCTCCCCCTGCCGGAGCAGCCTTCCTGGCAGTCTAATCTTGCTGTGAGGATGGCCTGCAGTGGTCCTGCTGCTGCTACTGCTCCTGCTCCACCCAAGCCTGCGCCCCAGGCTGCGCCCCCAGCCCCCTGCTGACTACTGAAATGCCAAAAATGCCTTTGGAATTCTGTTTACATATTCTTCCACTTCTCCTTTTTCCTTTTAGGCTCAGTCAGGGATGGAGACACCGTTGGATGTCTTGTCCAGAGCCGCCTCTCTGGTGCATGCTGATGACGAAAAGCGTAAGTCAGCAACGTGTTTTTAAAGGAGTCTATGCGAGTGCTTTTCTCGGTGTGCCTTGCTGCCGCAGTGAGTTAAGACCACTCGCTGTCCTGCACTGTTTTGGTCTGGCGGCCACCGGCTTTGGTCGTTTCCTCAGACAACAGCCTGACATTCTCATGTTTTGTTGTTGTTGAGAACCAGAACATGTTTCAGAAACAGAACCAGAACATGTTTTTCTTTCCCATGTGCTGGAATGTAGCCCAGTACCTGGCATGTGCTAGGCATGTGCTCCTCACTGAGTGCACGCCTGCCCGTAGTCACCGAGATTCTGGGGGAGAAGAGACCTCTCCCTTGTGGTGGGCAGGGCAAGAGGGAGAACTCTAGATTTGAGAGATTAGTGTTCATTCTAAAGTGTATTTGTTTTTAAAATGTTCTTGTTTAACATTGCTAGGGCGATAGCTTGGTGGTCTGAGTGCCTACAACTGGCAAGTGCAAGTACCTGGGTTTGATCCCCAGTGTTGCATGCTGTGCGGGCCCCAGAAGCGCCATGCTGACCCCGAAACCAGGCTTGGTGGCACACGCCTGTAATCCCAGCACTGGGGTGGCTGAGACAGGAGGACCTCTATGAGTCTGATAGCGAGATACTGTACCAAATAAATAAATAAAGAATAAATGGTAAAAAGTGAATTAGAAGAAATGTTCTTGTTTAAGGTTAAAATTACTCACTGATGCCCGGCATGGTGGTGCAAACCTGTAATTCCAGCACTTGGGAGCCTGAGGCAGGAAAGATCTCTGTGAGTTCAAGGCCAGCCTGGTTTGTATATTGAGACTTTAAAAAGAAAAAAAAGTTGCTCACTGAATGGTATTGTAAGCCCTGGGGAGATAGCTCAGTAGAATAAGTGCTTGCCTGGCAAGCACAAGGGCCGGAGTTCAATCCCTGGTTCCGCAAAAAGGGAAAATGAATGATATTGTAAGAATTGTTGTTTTCTCAGGAGGTTGGTTTTGAATTTGTGATCCTCCTGCCTCAGCCTCCCAGAGTGCTGGGATTACAGGTTTGCATCACCATCCCTAGCTCCAATTTTGTTTTACAGTAATTTAAAAACTGACTAAGAGAGGGCTGGTGAGGTAGCTCATCAGACTAAGCACCTGCTTAGGCAAGCGCAGGGACCAGGGTTCACTCACCCCGCACCACATGCTGTGCCAGTCCCTTTTTCCAGTGCACTGAGCCAGCCACGTAGGCTGGGTGTGGTGGTGCATGCATATAATCCCAGGGCTGGGGAGGGTGAAAATGGGGATCAGTAGGAGCCTGAGCTGCCTAATGAGATCCTGTGTCAAATACATTAACAAAAAAAGAAAAAAAAACTAAGAAGGAAGGAGGGGTACTTTGTGCTAATATACAGAACCACACCTTGGTGGATCTTTAACAATAATTATAATAGACCCTTGATTTACAAATTCAATTTATTCCTGAGAGCTTTGAAGGCTGAGGCTCCTCAGTGCAGCCTTCAAAGTCTCCTGTACACAGGCAGATCTCAGTGTCCTTAGAGAGACACTGGCCCAGGATTTCTCAACTAATCCCACTCAGGAAAGGATGCTGTAATGTTCCTTTCAGAACTCTTTTAGGGTTTAGCCTGTACTTGAGAGCATCAGGAAACACAAGCGGCTGGCATTCAGATCATAACTAAGACTTTGGTTGTAGGTTAAAACTAAAATTCCAATCATAACCCAAGCTGTGATGTCAGGCTAGTTGTGACTCAAAGGTCCATTGTACCATGAATATTTTGGTGATTACAAAATATTTTGTTTTTATTAGTGTTACTCATATCTTCTGTGTAATAAGACCTGGAACTGCTTCTTTCTTCACTCAGATTTAAAATATTAGGAAAAAAATTAAGGCTGATCTTTTATGAAGTGTAAGTTTTCGAAGCTGCCCCACTTTGCAGTTTATTTCCTGTGAGTTGGTCGCCTAGCATATGCATGTCTTTGAAATGTGAGGTCTGCCCCAGATGACTGTTCCTTTTTTTAGCCTCAGTTTCCTTGTTAGCAAAGGCAGTAACATTTCCTGCTTACCTAGTGTTTGTGGGGATTGCAGGTTCCCACCTGTCTCCTGGCTCCTGGCTACGGCCGCCTTGCTCTGCTCCCAGCACCAACTGGCCTCTGACTGGACCCCTCCTGGGCTGACTGTGACCCTCACTTCCTTGTTGCCCCTTACCCGCGATCCTCATTATGGTAGTGACTGGAAGACATAGCCATGAGGGATTGTCCCCAGACTTTTATCGGTGTGTTTGTTTTGAGATGAGGTCTCACTATGTAGTTGTAATTGGGTTTTGAACTTTCCATACAGTACAGGCTGGCCTCAAACTCACTGTGACCCTCCTGCCTCACCCTCCAGAGTGCTTGGATTATAGGTGTGTGCCACCATGCCTGGCCTCTTTACACTTCACATGGATTTAGTTGTTGGTTTATAGGTGGGCAGAAGTGCCTGATGATGAGGTTTAGTTATTCCTTGCTAAGGAAGCTGAGCTCGGGACATTGTGTGTCATTCCCAAGGACACAGGCTAGGGACAAAATCCTTCAACCACAGAGTCCTTCCTACCTCTAAGGATGCAGACCATGAGGCTGGCCAGATCAGCTGTCCACACGATATGGACCAATGAGAGAGCCGACTTGGGCGCCCCTGCCCTGTGCGTGGCAATAGTTGGACTTCCTTTTGTATGGCACCTGAATTTAATTAGGGGTATAAGTTAAAGTGCTGTCTATAACCAGGGAAAGTACAGGCTGTGACCTCAGGGTCTTGTATCCTGGGGATGTTGGGTAATTCTCTTGCTTTTTCCCTCTTTCTCAGCCTTTGGAGAGAGTTCTCTTGGGTCAGAAATTTTGATCAGCTTGGAGGGAGATCTGCCCAGTTTCCAACTCCATGAGGGACTGCTGAAGGCTTGCATGGGAGGGCCCCAAGTGGGGGAGGGCCCCTTACCTCAGGGGCAGATCTGCATACAGATCCTTGAGCTGCAGGGTCTGCAGGGATGTGGACATTTCCATGCGTATTGCACAGGGACAGTGTATGGGGAGGGGGCCCTGCCCTGGACCCTGTCCTGAACCTCTCTGCCTCTAGTGGCCCGGTAGGGTCAGGGGCAGCCAACCTGGTTCAAGGACCTGTCTGTGGGCTGGCCTGACGCCTATGCTCAGGGCTCTTCATGGAGTGACGCTGGGCATCTTTGCATGAGTCTGTGAAAGTCCAAGTGGTGCAGGCAGCACCAGCGGTGCACGCCATGTCTCTCGGTGGATTTCTTAGTCTTATCTGTGCTGGCCCAGCCCAACTCAGCTTTCTCTGCCCTAGATTAATTCTGGTTTGGCTTTGTTCTAGACTGCTTACACTTTGGGGGCCGGGAACATTCTCCCCGACACTTTGAGAGTCTGTGTGTAATCTGATGTGGGTGTCTTATTACGAGCACAGCAGTGTCCCGTTCCTTGGGCTTGGCTTCCCGCTGTGTCTCCATGACCTGAATGATGCGAGTGACTTCTTGATGGCTCCTGGAGCTCTGAAACTTGGTCATTTTGGGGGGTGGTATTGTTCTGGCCTTTCGAAGGGAACAGGATCCGTTGTGACTTGAGTGTCTAATACCCGATAGCCTTAAGGTTTCATTATGTCTGTAGAGAAGAATAAAAACAATATCTCAATAGTACGCTGGGAGCTGGGACAGAGTGAAAGGGTGGTTTTGTAGCAGCTCAGTAGTTACTTATCTGGGCAGCTGAGAAGGAATACATTTACTTAAAATAATCATCAGACAGCTTGGGAGGCGTTGATTTTATCAGTATTCAGGGCAGTCCTGGAACGGACTTCATGAAGACGAAACCAGATCGTTCATGCTGGGCTGGGAGGGCTTGGACTTCTTACAACTTCTTTTTTTTTTTTTAGTATTAGAGATTAAACCCAAGGCCTTTGCACTGAGTTAAGTCCTCAGCACCCCTTTGATTTTTTTTTTTTTTTAATTTTAATTTTGACACAGTTCTTCCTAAGTTACTAAACTGCTCAGGCCGGGCTCAAATTTGCTATCCTCCTGCCTCAGCCTCCTGGAGTGCTGGGATTACAGGCATGCACTATCATGCCTGGCTCTGTCTTTTTTGAATAGTGACAGTTGACCAAGTTGAGAGAACAGGGCACTTTTGCTGATAAACGTAATAATAGTTTGTTGTACCTTTAACACTGTACCTCATTTTATTTTGAAGATTACAGAAATATTTCACTTTTGGTAATTTCTCTCTTGTATATTCTGGATTATAAAAACTGGGAGGTGCTTTTTTCCTTGCTTAGATTAAAGTCTGTGCTAATGGTATTTTTGAAACACAATCTGTTTGCATTGCTCAGGCTGTTCTTGAAATCCTGGCCTCAAGTGGTCCTCCTGCCTGAGCATCTTCTGTGCCAGAACTTTGGGTGCATGCTACTGTATCTGACTAACATCATTTTTTAAAAAGTGCAGCTTTGAGTCTTGAGGGTTTGTATGGAGGGACTGTGTGTTACTGGTCTGCTTTCCCATTGCAGAGACACAGGACCTGACATCTGTACGTTAAAGGAGGAGAGGTCTGACTTGGCTCACGATTTCAGGGGATTTGGTCCATGGTTGGTGGGTCCCAGGAAGAAATGTCCTCGTGGAAGGCTGTGGTGGAGTGCCAGAGAGGTAGAAAGGAACAGGGAGCCAGGTGGAGCGTGGCCACACCTCCATTACTCACCCAGACGTGGATAAATGCTCGGGACAGTTGCCTGGCCATCTGTCTCCTCCCCACTGCACCCTGGCTAAGCGGGCACCACTGTCAGACCCATTTTGCAAATGAGGGAACTGAGGCTTATGGAGAAAGATCATTGACCCAGGGACACTCATAGGAGATACATGTAGAGCACACACAATCCCATGAATGCATCTGCAGGAGGCTTTACCTGGAGAACATGCCCCTCCTCTGAATCAGCAGCTCTAATCCAGGAGTGGCTACACTGGCTGGCATTGAGGAAGAGAGCTACCTGCGT